TGCAAGAGAATAGGACACGTTGCAAAGGATTGTAGAGCTGGAGAAGCGCGGGTCTGCTTTGAGTGTGGAAGCCCAAATAATTTCCGAAGAGCTTGTCCAAAGAGAAATCAAAGGCCCTACACAACTCAAGCACAACCAAYCAATCAAGGGAACCAAGGGGGTCAGGCACGAGGACGGGTGTTCGAAATTAGGGTAGAAGAAGCAAGACGAAACCCTGATGTAGTCACAGGTACGTTTCTCCTAAACAATCATCTTGCATCYRTACTTTTTGATTCTGGAGCAGATAGGAGTTATGTATCGCTAGATTTTAGACCAAAGATAAAAATAAGACCCCAAAAGTTGAACGAAGTTCATATAATAGAATATGATAATGGACAGAAAGTTAAGGTCAGAGATGTGATCAAGAACTGCACTTTTAACTTAGAAGGAACAAATTTTAGAATAGACCTAATCCCAATCRAAATAGGAAGTTTTGATTTAATTGTGGGTATGGATTGGTTGTCCGAAAACCGAGCCGAAATTTGTTGTGCTGAAAAGAAGATTCGTATACCACTGTCAGAAGGAAAAATACTCGAATACTCTTAGTTTATTCGTTGGTTGGTATTTTTATGTTTTAGCCGATAACTTTTGACATTGGTTGAAAACGAGCTCCATTTTACGTTCAATTACTCATAAAAACAGTTTAGTTTTCTATTTTGTAGCATTTGGTTTTGGAATAAGGGATTATTTATTTCAAACTCTAAACTAATATGTCGTCAACTAATCTATACTATATTATAAAGCATTTGACAAAAAAATTTAAAACCATTTTTTATGCATGAAGTACTGTATATTAATACATATTACTTAAAATTCAATATTACAAGTAAATTATACGTAAGCACAACTTATCAAAGCTCAATGTTTAAATTCGTGTAACTAACTGCGGATAAACATAATGAAATAGAAGATAAATATCTTATTTTAAAATATAAAAATTCTAAAATATAATTAGATAATTATCGATTTCTAACAAAATAATTAATTATTATCTTTAAAAGAAAATTATATTTATTAAATCAAATATGAATTACTTCGTTATTGAACCTAATAAAAAATTGAATTAAAAAATTACACAAAAAATATGAATTTTAAATAGTTCATTTGATACTAATATCGATATATTTTTATAAAAATTATATGATATCTTCAGTTTTATATTTTATTAAAAAATAATAACATCATCGCTTTTTCAAAATCACATAAAACCATATTATAACAACTACTGAGATAAAAAATAAAATTAAATATTAAAATCAAAATGTATCTTGCTGCATTACACGAGTACCCTTATAATATTCTGAATGAGTTCAAAACCTTTTATTTGAAGAAATAGTATCTTGATAGTTGGTGGCACCTTCGTTTAGGTATTATAAATGGTAGAAATTATAACCATTTATTTGTTCAAATAAAAGTTCAAAGACTTAAATATTTAAAATATGAAAGTCTAATGAATTTTTTTTCATGATTTTATAACATTAACCGGTATTATAGGTCAAAAGGATATATTTAATTTACTTTACAAAGTCCATTTATTATTATTTTTTATCTAAATACTTAATTATTCAAAATAAAAAAAATATTAAGTTCTTTTTAAAGAAAATTGTATCCAAATAAAATAAACTTTGGGTCAATTTCTATTTTGGAAACCAACTTTTAAAATATTCATTATTTTCTGTTTTTTTTTTATACTAGAAAAATGAAAACAAAAACAAAAACCAGAATGAAAGGTTTTATGATAGATCCATAAGAAGACGAGTTGAGAATAACAGAAATGAATCGGCTTGGATTGCAGTAACTTGATGAACCGGCCACCAATGACATCACTAGAAGAAGATGGGAGATAAGTCGACGATGAGGATGGATCCCAATCTTAGGGGGTGTTTGGGATTGCTTATTTGAAACAACTTTTCTACAAAAACACTTATCAACTTATTATAATTCAGAAGAGTTTAATTTCTTCAAAAATTTCTTATTACCGGTTTGGCACCGGTATAAGTTATTTTATCCAAACACTCAAAACTACTTATTACCGGTGCCACACCGGAATAAGTCAATAATTTGTTTTATAAGCATATGACAAACACCCCCTTAGAAGCTTGAAGAAAAAAGAGTCCAAGAAAGAGTTTGGTTCCGATGAGAATGAGAGTTAATGTGAGAAACGTAAGAAAAGATCTCCACATTTGGTATGCACATGAGTTAGTTTGAGATTAAATGTGATCAAGGGCCCATATGCCTTTCTCACCTTAACTCTGTTTCTCGCTCGATCCTTTACCATCCAAGAAAAGGGTTTGATAGCCGACGCTGAAGCCATTGCCATCATAGAAAAATGGGTTTTTAAATAAGATAGTTTATATAGAACTTTGATGTTTATATTACGTTTTAAAAAACAATAGAGTTTGATACATATATCTCTATTTTATGGAAGAAAACGAGGTTTTAGATTTTTCTTACTTGAATTTGGTTTCTTTAAGAATTAGAAAGAATAAATAAATTACATTTAAATTTATGAAGGAGAAAGTTCATATTATTAGAAGATGTTAATGTTTACATTATCAAATCAAATGATACCTTGTTAAGGATTCAACCGATTATTTGAAAAAAAAATCTATAAGAATGTTAACCATAACGGTGGTGCTTGATTGGTTTGAGCTTGACTCTAAAGGTCAAAAGTATCAGGAGGTCTCAGGTTCAAATCCAAGAAGAAATAAACATCATCTTGTGGCCACGGAGGTTCAAATACGGTGACTTTAGACTATCTGCAAAGCAGGTGATCGCATTGAAATTAGTCAGCTCACATAATGGGTTGTATATTCAGGTTAATCAAAAAATAAATAAAAATCTACAAGAATGTTTTGAAAATTCATTCTAATGCGATATTTGTTGTTTATGTTTATCCCTTTTTTCAATCAATCATTCAATCTAAAAGAAGGTAACAGATATTTTATATATTCCTTCAAAAGAAAAGGACAAAATATTATATATTACATGTAGAGTAGAGATATCAAAGTTTGTAATTTAAAACCTAAGATTTGTTTTTTTTTTGGAGAAAGACACAAGGAATCTAATCGCATGATCTTTGGTTCACCATCCTTAATTTATGCTCACTTTAGTTAAGCATCTCATCAGAATCGCTGTTGGCAATAATCCCATGATCTTTGGTTCACCATCCTTGATTTATACTCACTTTAGTTAAGCATCTCGTCAAAATCGCTGTTGGCAATGGAATCTGTGGTGGAAAAATGGCCAAACGTGATAATAGCGGCGGAGGAGGGTGATTCGGAGTCCTCTTCGAATCCTACAGACGCGGTGTTGTTCGTGGGGATCTCGTTAGTGTTGGGAATTGCATCGAGGCATGTACTTAGAGGAACTAGAGTTCCTTATACAGTTGCTCTGCTTGTTCTTGGCATCGCCATGGGATCATTAGGTTCGTCTAATTTGTCAATTTCTGTCTTAAAGTAGGGTATTTTAATTATGATTCTGCAATTTGACTTCACTTTTGATATTTGTGGTCTAACTGAATTACAACCCTACACTATCTCCAGCTGAGATCATGAGCTTTTTCACCTTTTTCAAAATTTTCATTTCTAACCTTTTTCAAAATTTTCATCTCTTGTTTCCTTTTCTGTATTGAGCTGATCTACTGTCCTACGCACTTCATGGTTCCTTTCCTCAAACCGAAGGTTGCAGCTGAAAGGTGTTGTTATCAGATTCCGCCTAAAGTTGTATTCCAAATTGACTTAAATTTGACCACTAATGATCAATCAATCACTCGAACAGGAAAGACGAACTTCAGAAAAGTCAACTGTCCGGTGTTAACTAGTGCTCATGAAATAGGATGGATCTAATCATCAATAAAACATGACAATCAATAATAAACCAAAATCAAGCAAAGAGAGATAGAAAAGACACGGAAAACACAAATCAGTAAAATCATGACTATATGATCGTTCTTGGTATAAGATTGAACAAGGAAACAACAAATGGTGCTTTTACAAATAAAAAACCGTCGCTTAGATATTTTATCAAACAGGTGGTGGGTAGTTTTTGGTTAAGAGAGAGCAGAAAATAAGAAGAAAACAACACGTTGGAGAAAAAAGTTCTTATCCTCAATGAACAACTTTTAACATTTGGCAAACAAATCCTTGAATTTCCTGTTTTTGCCACTTTTCTCTACTGAATAAAATATCTGGTGGATTTAAGGCATTTCCTACATAGACTTTAAATTCTCCAAATGTAAACAAAACCCATAACAGAAAAGTCTTCAACAAACGATCAAATATAAAGATAAGAGAATTCCTCAAATACGTAAATATGAAACAACCACCTTCACCAAAAGCCTCTAAGATCTCAATCACAATGAATAGCCTCGACCAAGTCCAACCAATGCTCAAACTTGGTCACTGTTAGTGCCTTCATCATCATGCCGGTTGGGTTATCGTGTACTAATCTTGCTCAAGAAACCTGAGAAATAATATCAGATACAAATTAATAGCAGATGTCAATGGGTTTTTCTCTCGTGAAACATCAAATCCCTTCAAGAAAGTGGCACTTTGGCTGTCACACTATATCATACACTTCCAAAGCATCACTATGCTCCCGAAATAACCCTTTCAACCATATTCATTCCTTAATTGCTTATGTTACCACCATGTATTTAGCTTTATTTGTTGACAAAGCAACCGTAGGCTTCAAACAAGCATTCCAGCAAAGGGCACAATCTCCAACCGTGAAGACATAAACAACAATTGACCAATAACTTCTCTTGTCAAGGTCTATGGCATAATCTGAATCAAGATAGCTAATATCACTATTCTCAGATCCCCCAAAGCTGTAGACAAATATTGGGTGAACCCTGCAAATAATTGAAAATCCATTGTACGGCTTTCCAATGGTCCTTTCCTTAGTCTGCCATTTATCTACTTGCCATGCTAACAGCATAGGACATATGTGGGCGTGTACATATCGTAGGAAATATTAAGGACCGAACAACACTAGAATAAAGGACTTTTGCCATATACAAAAATCTTATCTGACGTAGGACTAAAGACGGACGATAGCCTAAACTGGGTGGCAAGGGGTATCAAGATAGGCTTTGCATGGTGCATATTGAAGCGTTGAAGTATGATACGATCTTAAGTTAAATTCTTCGAGTGAGTGCCAACTCCAGAATTAACAGGAAGGAGCAGAGTAGAGAGATAGAAGACAAGGAATTTCCAGCATAAAAGACATAACTTACATTCCCTTTTTCCTCCCTTTTACATGGTTATGACAACTAAGGGAAAACCATAAATGGTTTCCGGACATGGTTACTTTCCTACAACTGAGATTACCACTCAACATGTAAAACTACCACAACTACTTAACCATATGCAACACCTGCTACTTTGACTATTTGTTTAACTACATAGTTATTCGGCTGGAACGACAAGCCGGTTGCGCCTCTGGCTCGCTTGAGCTGTGAGTTGCCACTGGACTTGTGAATTCTTGAGCTGCCATATCAAAGTACCTTTACTATGTACCTTGTTTGACTAAGGTACAACTTGCTTTTTCGTGTCTTCCAATTTCCACTACCAAAATGTTTCTTCGCAACCCCCAAGTCTTTCTATGTCAAACTCTACATTCAGTTGATCCTTAACCTTTTGAATCCCTCTTTACATCTAGCTACTAGCAGTATATCATTTACATACAAAAGTGGGTACAACATTCACTCATAGTTCCTGTAGTTATGACTGGCCAGAAAGAGTCGTACCTTTTGTACCATTGCCGTAGAGATTGCTTGAGGCCGTAAAGAGACTTCTTTAGAGAACATAGTTTTTTTTACCCATAGGCCACAACAATCAAAACCTTCAGGTTGTTGCATATATATGTTCTCCTCAAGCTTATCATTCAAAAAATTAGTGGCATCATGTTGTTCAAGCTCATAGTCATTAGTTGCAACAACAATACTAAGTAATTAACAACACATGAATAAATATCAGTATAGTCGGCATATGGGATTTTAATATATTCTTTTGCAAGTATGTGTGCCTTATAACTATGTCCTATAAAATTTGCAACGTTTGACTCAAAAAACGGTTTCATAATTTTTTTGATTATCAGTTAGATGTTTAAAGTACTTCTCAATAGCTACAAAATATATTTAATCTTGCGCACCAAAACAGACTTGTTACTAACACATGTAACACTCAATGTTGGCATTCAATATTTTGATGTCAATAACAATAATATGAAAATAAGACGTCTACAATATGTGTATGTATATATCTATACTATATTATAAAACATTTGACAAAAACTCTTAAAAATCACTTTTTATGCATTAAGTATTGTTTATTAATGCATATTACCTAAAACTCAAGATTACAAGTAGATTGTGCGTAAGTACAACTTATTAAAGCTTCATATCTGAATTCGTGTAACTAACTGCAGATAAACATTATCGAATGCATGATAAATATCTCATTTTAAATATAAAAAATCTAAATATAATTAGGATAATCATTAAGTTCTAACAGAATACTTAATTATTATCTTTATAAAATGTTATAAAACCAAAAATAAATTATTTCATTATTAAACTTAAATTAAATTATAATAAAAATAAAGTAAAGAAATTACATAAAAAATGAGAACTTTTAGATGGTTGATTTGATACTAACATTGATATATTTTTTTTCAAAATTTTATTTTATTCAAAAATAAAATCATTATTGCTTTCTTAAAAACACATAAAATCGTATTATAACATCGACATAGACAAAGAATAAAATAAAACATTAAAATTGAGATGTATCTCGCTGCATTGCACGAGTACCCTTCTAGTATATATATAGTGGCTTTGTCACTGAAAGGGGGTGACACTTTTGCAGCCCGCCGATTGATGCACCTGGGGTAATTCGCTGGGCAGCATACAAGTGTGGTCATCAAGTGTTGAAAGCATCATATGTTGTTGATGTGAGGTGTTGCATAGCTTTCCTACTATTGTGTTCTTTCCTAAGTCAAAAACTCTTTATTCTGCAGAATACGGAACAAGCCATCGGTTAGGGAAGGTTGGTGATGGAATACGGATCTGTAAGTTGACTTAGAATCTTCTGTTGAGATGAGCCTAAAATCATGAACAGTTCCCGCTGAATTGTCCCAGTGGTATTCGAATACGGGCACCATCCACCTGCCTCTGGGACAACGCGATTTTCCTCCCCCATGATGGCTTTGGGACCGTTGTGGTGGGGGCGCTCAGAGTGGCATATATTCTTTTTTGAAATTATGCACAGCCTTCCTCTGACGACTGACATGCTTGCACTTGGAAAATCCTTTGTATACTATACTGTCGGCTGCTGTAAGTCACATATATGGTTCATGTGCAGGGGCAAATATTGATCCAGATCTTCTATTAGCTGTTTTTCTCCCTGCTCTTCTTTTTGAAAGTTCATTTTCAATGGAGGTGCACCAAATAAAGGTTGATTTCTATGCTTCATTGTCTTACTCAACCCCCATAAAGCCGAAGAGTCGTGTTAGTTAAACCACGATGCATCGGGTTTTGTTGATTATTGAAATTACTTGAATAGTACATTGAAAACATTATTTTATTGTTATATAAGAATATTTATAATTAGTGATCCAAGATATTCCTGTTTAATCATTTTGAAGTGACAGAGAATGGGACTAGTTATTGTTAATATCAATGATATAGTTATTGTATCACACTTGAATTTGAATATATGGAATTCCACTCAAGCAGATCATTTGGATCCTGATACTAGATAATGGAAGTTCCTTTCTAAACGCCTTCTTGTGATCAAATGTCTTACACGAAGACTGATATATTTGTTTTATTTTAATTTGTGTATAACTGCGAACAGTCCTCGACGGGATTCAACGTTCAACTTGCATTCAGATCCTTGTGAGCAACAAACCTAGGTGCTTCTCTATTAAAGTGGCTGCTAAGAAGACATCCTTGGCATGAAGATGCATCAAGGATCTATGCTAATAAGTTGGTAACATAGAAGTTTCGCTTAAAGAAGTAAGTTTACAAAAAAATAAAAATGGCAGGATACATTTGATCATAAAGCAGCCTTAGGAACCTGCACAGTTTCCATTTTCATCCATCTAACAGATTGGCAGCGACAGAAATACACTAGATATGATAAATCCTGTATGTATTTTCCAATGGTTGTCATCCAGTCAACAACAACATCAACCTTATTAGCCATGAGTCATTAGTGGTTGGCTACAAATAGAAATCCAAGTAGAATGTGTGATGAGGTGAAATCCAATACAAATTACAAGAAAGTCAACCCTCTAGGGTTCTAGGCATAATAATAGCATTCTTTCCGGACCCTTCTATTAAAAACCCACTTCTTTATTATGTACGTGCCACACAGATATCCCTTCACTACTTCCTCATTTTGATGTTGATCGTACTCCATATATGCTAATGGTGTCTTCTTGGTAGAAGCGTCAACTTCTAGATCATGCAATTGAAGAATCTACATTGGATATGGCTGAATCAGCTCAACTAATCTTATCTCAGCATCTGGTAGACCTGTGACTGTTTTATAATGGTTGTAATGTTAGCATTTGTATGGATTTACACTTAATTTTCAGATTGTCTGGATGAAACATCTTTTGATATATGATCATGCATTATAAATTCTTTAATTATTGACTTAATGATACATGTTCTGGATGAAGCGTTTTTGATAATATAATCAAGCATTATAAATTTTATTGACATTACTATAGTGGTATGTGTTTCTAACAATTTCTCAGTCATTTTGTTAAAAGGTATTCTTATTAATGTAAGATTATTGGTTTCTCATAACAAAACCCACCTTCATCTCTTCACAGAAATGCATGGCACAAATGATAATTCTTGCTGGGCCTGGGGTTCTAATATCCACATTCATTCTGGGCTCAGCTTTGAAGGTTTGCTAACATATATCATTTTTGGGATTTCTGTTTGGCGTGTAATTTTCTATATTCTAAAATAGACGCAACCGCAGCTAATTTTTCCATATGACTGGAGCTGGAAAACATCATTTCTGCTTGGAGGACTTCTAAGTGCTACTGATCCTGTTGCTGTGGTTGCTTTGTTAAAAGAGCTTGGTGCAAGCAAAAAACTAAGTACTATTATTGAAGGAGAATCATTAATGAATGATGGGTATCAATTCTCTGTTGCTCTTTTAGCTTCTTAATCAAGACATTTGATCCTTTCTTTGGATCTCATGTAATAAAAGTTTCTATGATATAGAAATTAAGTTTCAGTTATTGTCCATGTTCGGTTTAGCTACATGCTTAAATATAAACTGTATTCTGTATATTCAGGACTGCAATTGTTGTCTATACACTCTTTTTCCGAATGGTGACTGGATCAAGCTTCAGCTGGGAGACCATCATAAAATTCTTAGCAACAGTATCTCTTGGAGCGTAGGTGTTGTACCTTCAGTTTATAGTATAGCGACTATAGTTGGTTTGATAAAATTATTTCTTTGATCCAGTGTAGGAATGGGTGTTGCATTTGGTCTGGTGTCATATTTGTGGCTTGGATATATTTTCAATGATACGGTGATAGAAATTACATTGACTGTTGCTGTAAGCTACCTTGCTTATTTCACGGTATGTAACCTCTTACACTCACAAAGGTACATTTAATACTGATATACATTGCATGACATGTCTTCTCCAGGAAGAAAATTGTTGATGGGATTAGTGGCAAGAAGGTGCCCATAATTTGTGCATCTTTCCATCTGATTATTGGATTCTCTATTTAATGTTAAGATCATAGGTTTAATTGTTCCCCTTATTCTTCCTACTAAGTGCTAACCATTTGTTTATGCAATATTGGCTGTTCCATCTCAACAAGAATCATCTGGTTGATACTCGATTTTGCACTTGAGCATGATAATTTGTTAGGTTGAGGTTTCATGTTAGTAAACAAAGTTGTGGAGTTGTGATTTGTATAGCTTTGACTTATGAGTTTGCATTGAGGTAATGCCATAGATGAAATGAGAAGTGTTAATGAGTGCTTTCTTATTTATTTACCGGTCTGTGCCCACCAGAATGAAGGTGGTTGGTACTTCATGTGAACCCCCATCCATAGAAGTTTGTGTTCGCTCAAGAGATAAGGTTGCTGGCATCTTGACCAAGGCCAATGCAAAAATCACAGGGTTAGCTCTATATGTGACAAATTGGGGATGCTCGGCTTATGTGCTTGAACTTGAGGAGTGTTGGATATAAACCTATTTCCAACTTTTCTTTGTATTTTATATAGGGTTAAGATTTCCTTTTGGCCGGGCCATGGATATGTACTTTGCTAAATAAAATTATGGTTTAATTGCAAATAATGGCAGACAACTTTGTTCCAATTTCTAATCTGGAAAGTTGAAAATAAGGAAGAAAAGATTTTAACTTTGCAAAAGGTTTTCATTTAGGGTAATTGAACCAAGCTGGTTGCCATTCTTTGCATTTCATTAGGACCAACAAATGGCAACCAACTTGTTCATCCTTATCCCTTAGTGAAACTTTTTGCAAAGTTTGAACCCTTCTCTTGGTAATTTTCAAATTTAGGTGACTAAATTTGAAATACGCAAAAGTTGGTTACCAATCATCATATTTAACCCTTAAATTATGTACTGTTGATCCTCAATTATTGCAGTTCTCGTCCTACAAGTCCAACTTGTACATTATATGGTCACGGTTTTCCCTCAGCAGCAGTTATCAGCTTTCAACCTAAATCATATCATGGTAGAGTTAGGTCTTGGAAGAGAGTCGCTTCGGTTGGTGATGGCACTTCGTTTGTGGGGGAGGCTGTACTCTTGAACCACCATGTGCTTCCGTTTTTCTTAGTGTTCATTGATATGCTTGCCATTGAGATTCTGTCTTGTCTCCTTTGATAAAAAGCCACTGCTGCCACTGCCAACCATGAAGCCAGCCTCTTTTCTACCATGCTCGTACTTCAACTTGTTAAGATCTGAACTCAGGGATGATTGCGGCACAGTAATTAAGAGCCAAATGAGTGAACAAAATGAGAGGAACCTACTAGCAATTTGAGAGGCTAGTCTGTTGGAAATATTAAGAAAATATCAGAGAAGTTTATTGAAGGATCAATGCCTTATTAACTGAAGACTGCCTCAATATATAGGCTTACAGGACTGGAAAAAAGAGACGTTAGAGACTAAACAGAAAATAGCTAAAAAGAAGGAAAAAAATCTGCTGATACTCCTAACGACCAAGTAAAACTTTGAATCATTCAACATTCCCCCTTGATTCAAAAGTGTCAACTCCTATTTGTGCTCGGAGGTCTTCAAACTTAGCTTGAGGTAACGCTTTGGTGAACATGTCTGCCAATTGTTGTCTTGATCTGCAAAGCTCATCTCTAATCTGTTCTTCAGCTACCAATTCCCGAATAAAGTGATGTTTAATCTTTATGTGCTTCGTTCTTCCATGCAAAATTGGATTTCTCGTAAGTGCTACTGCTGATTTGTTGTCACGTAGCAGTTGTGTTGGATACTTTTGCTCTTGATTCAAGTCTTCAAGTAATCTTCTTATCCAAACTACCTGACATGCTGCTACAGTGGCTGCCACATACTCAGCTTCTGTAGACGACAAAGCTACGGTTGGTTGTTTCTTGGAGACCCAAACAACAGGCCCTGATCCAAGAAGGATACAATTTCCTGTTGTACTTCTCCCATCTTCTTCTGAGCTTGCCCAGTCACTCTCCGAGTATCCCTTGAGCTGAAATTCTGCTTGAGTTTTGTACCAGATCCCCAAGCCTAATGTAGCTGCTACATACCTTAGTATTCTTGTGGCTGCACCTAAGTGTTGCTTGCTAGGACAATGCATGAATCTAGAAACCAATCCGACTGAATATGCTAAGTCTGGTTTGGTGTGAGTGAGATAGATCAACCGCCCTACTAGGCTTCTGAATTTTCTCGCATCTGTTAATCCTGTGCCATCATCAATCATGAGTTTCTCACCCACATTCATCGGAGTCCCAACCATTTTGCAACCCACCATGCCAACACTCTTCAAGATGTCTGAGGCATATTTATGTTGAGATATAAATATGCCTCTCTTGGTTTGCTTGACCTCCAATCCAAGGAAGTATCTCAACTCCTCTAAAATAAGTCATTTCGAATTTGCCTGTCATGGCTTTTCTAAATTCTGAAATGAGATTTAGGGAGGATCCTGTGTATATCATGTCATCTATATATAGACTTACCACCACAATATCTTTTAAACCTTGCTTCTTTACAAATAGTGTCGGCTCATTTGGACTTCTCTCAAATCCATTTGTAAGAAAGAATTCATTTATCTTGCTATAACTAGCCCGAAGAGCTTGCTTCAAGCCATAAAGAGCTTTCTCAAGCTTATATACTTTATGTTCCTCTCCACATACTTCAAAACATTCATGTTGTTGTACATAAACCTCCTCCTTTAGTTCCCCGTTGAAGAATGCAGATTTTACGTCAAACTGTAAAACCTGCCATTGCATTTGTGCTGCGAGTGAGAGGATAACTTTTACCGTTTCAAACCTTGCCGCCGGTGAAACGTTTCTTCAAAATCTACCCCTTGTTTTTGTGCATATTCGCATGCCACCAATCTCGCCTTGTGCTTCTGTATTGTTCCATCTGAATGCACCTTTGTCTTGAAAACCCATTTTAGACTGATTGCCTTCTTCTCCTTTGGTAATTCAACTAGCTTCCAAGTCTTATTCTTCTCAATAGCATTAATTTCTTCTTGCATAGCTTGTTTCCAAACATCTTCTTTTATGGCATCTTCTACAGTTGTTGGATCACTAGCAAGCATGACAAAGTCATCTCCTTTTCCTTCAACTGGGAAATGACGCTTCGGAATCAAGCTACGCTCACTTCGTCTTACCGGTACTTCTTCACTGTTTCTGTCATCTAGAGAGGCTTCAAAATCACTACTTTGAGATGATTCTACATTTTCGTTGCTCGAAGAGGAATCTGTGTTGTTGCAACTTGAAGGAGTACCTTGAGGTTGAGGATTGACTAACGGCTCTTTGTGTGTGCCTTCCTCATCGTTATGCTTGTACTCCATGCTTCCTGCTCACTAAATTGCACATCTCTACTGATCACCATAGATTTTTCATTTGGATCAAATAGTTTATATGCTTTGGATTTAGTGGAATACCCCACGAAAATGTACTTCTTTGCCTTTTGATCAAGCTTATGTCTTCCTGATGGAATCAAAACATAACATATGCAACCAAAAATGCGAAGATGACTAACCGATGGTTTGAACTCGTACCAGGCCTCGAATGGAGTCATATTCCATACTGCTTTTGTAGGTGACAGATTCAGCAGGTAGACAGCAGTAGCGACCGATTCAGCCCATAATTCATCATCTAGTCCTTTGGCTTTGATCATTGAACGAGCCATTTCTTGTATAGTTCTGTTCTTTCGCTCCGCTATACCATTTTGTTGAGGGGTATAGGGAGCCGTAAGCTCTCTCTTGATTCCATGTTCTTCACAGTAATTGTTGAACTCCTTAGAAATGAACTCTCCCCCTCTATCGGTTCTGAGTACCTTAATTTTTTCACCACTTTGATTTTCTGTTAAAGCTTTGAATTTCTTAAAGAAACCAAATGTTTCTGATTTATGTGCGAGAAAATAAACCCAACTCAATCTTGAAAAATCATCGATAAAGAGTAGAAAGTATTTCCTACCTCCAAGTGAAGCGGTTTTCATAGGTCCACATATGTCTGCATGGACCAACTGTAACTTAATCTCGGCTCTTTTTGCTTGTCCAATAGGAAACGAAGACCTTGTTTGCTTCCCCAACGCACATCCTTCGCAAAGGCGGTTCACATCTTTGACTGTAGGTAAACCTTTCACCATCTCTTTAGCCGCAAGTAGCTGTAATCCATTGATATATAAGTGACCATAACGTTGATGCCACAACGTTGTAACATCAGTTTTGCCGCTCATCATCATTCCGTAGTCCCTGTTGCTAGAGAAGTCTAGTGGAAACATCCTGTTTTCTGTCTTTAGTGATTTAAACAAAACATCTCCTGTTTTGTTTTTAATGACACAAGAATCGTTATCAAATAGTACTAAGAAACCAAATTGGAGAAGTTGACCCACACTTGACAGATTGTGAGCAAGACCTGGTGCATAGTTGACATTCTGAATTGTTTTTACCTTTTCATTGACTTTGACTGCAATTGTTTCTTTTCCTTCAATTTTCACCTGCTTATCATCTCCCAATCTTACCTTAGATTTATGAGTTCCATCCAAGTCCTTAAACTTGCTTTTGTCACATGTTACATGGTTTGAACAAGCACTATCTACGAACCAGACTTCATTTGAGATGGTTTGAAGACTTACATAAGTCATGAACAGACAATCATCTTCCTCTTCTACATATTGTGCTTGCTTCTCCTTGTACCAACAGTCACTTTCTTTATGACCATATTTTTTTGCAGTTGGTGCATTGGACAGTGGTCATCCTTCCACGCCCTCTTCCTCGGAATGCAGCTCTTCCTCCGCCTCGATTGTACCACGAACTTGTTTGTTCACCTTGCACTTGAAAAACTTGTTCCTCTTCACTTGTTGTGGATCTGTTGATTCTTGTTTCATGAGCTTGAAGAGACCCCATGAGTTCATCTACGGAGAACTTGGAGAGATCTTTCGATTCTTCAATGGCTGCGACTACATGATCGAACTTTGGAGTCAAGCTTCGTAGTATCTTGGCCACCACAGTTTCATCTGTCACTTTGTCGCCATATGCTCTCATTTGACTGACAACGGACGAAACCCTTGCGAGATATGCTTGTATAGTTTCATTGCTTTTCATGTTGGCGGTTTTGAAATCCCTTCATAGAAACTGTAATATTACAGTAATAACTTTTCCTGATCCTTGATATTCATTCTTAAGTACATTCCACGCCTCTTTTGCTGTAGAGGCTGATGAAAAGATAGATTCGTCTACTGCTTGTTGGATGAGGAATAAGGCTTTAGCATCTTTCTTGTAACTTTCTTTGTTAGTTGCATCGTCACCTTCAAGAACTCCGTTCTCTACCAAATCCCATAGATCTTGAGATCGAAATAAAGTTTTCATTTTTATGCTCCAAAACTCGTAAGAATCCCCTTTGAATACGGGGATCTGGGGTTGTGAGACGTTTATGGTTGCACTGTTTGCTGCCATCTTACTGCTGAAGACGGAAAACCTGGGTTACAACCTGGCTCTGATACCAGAATGTTGGAAATATTAAGAAAATATCAGAGAAGTTTATTGAAGGATCGATGCCTTATTAACTGAAGACTGCCTCAATATATAGGCTTACAAGATTGGAAAAAAGAGACGTTAGAGACTAAATAGAAAATAGCTAAAAAGAAGGAAAAAAAATCTGCTGATACTCCTAATGACCAAGTAAAACTTTGAATCATTCAACATGGTCTCTCCTACAAGATAAGGCTAATATTATGCATACCCTACTATGGCTACTGCCTATTATTTATACTAGCCCAAAATCGAAAATTACCCATTTCACTCTTCCCTGACCGGATAGCTGGCATCCTCCTTTTACTCCTAAGATGGTCCTCTCCTTAGTTAGCCGACGTGGCTTTTTTGTTCCTCCTGCTAAAAGTGAATCTAAGGGGTAGGTGCATAACACAGCTCCTTTTCGCTTCCAATATGCGCTCCAAATCCTCGCCATCGCCTGCTTGTCCTTCACTGCTGCTCCTGTGCCCCAGTTACGTGGTAACCTTTGGTTGAAACCTCCGTGATAGTACAGCCTCCTGCTGTTAACAGATGATATCTGCTGCTCCAGCAATCACCTGCCTCTAGATGATTTCCTCGTCCTTTCACTACAGTTTGATTGCAATGCTTAGTCGCCTGAGCTCAAGTGGACTCATAAACCAAACTCTTTTTTGATTTGGAGCTGCTCAAATGCCAAATCCCTTGGATATTTTAGAATGGCCGCCTGTTTGCTACTAGCATCGTTAACTGTTGTACCGACTCTCTCTGTTGCTTGCTCATCGTATTCATTTATGAACCAACCCATTCACACCTTCATCTGAACCAGTCTGTCCTCATCTACCACTGGCATGTTATATGTTACCATCATGGCATTTCCTACTGATGCTTTCTGTTCTGCATGTGACTGATGCGGGACTTCGTTGTAGCTTCTGAAGTTTCAGGGATTAATTTGGATGCCTCAAAATTCCAAGGGCCATTCTGGAAATTTCAGAAACTTTAGAGCCATTTCATAACCTTTTGGTAATGAACTCTATATTCAGAAAAAGTTCCACTGATGATAAAAAGAATCATGCTCCTTTGATGGGTTTATTTTGATAATGCACATTCACTTTCATGCAGTGACAAGTGTCCTGAGCAAGATCCGACCAAATCTTTGAGCATCAATGCCAGACAAACAAGAGAAGCATCCAAGGAACCTCACTAACATAGCCAGCTTTTCACTTGTGGAAATCTTGTTACTATGTTGAGACTAGATAAGATCAGGAAGTGTAATAATCTGTGGAAGGAGTGAATTCCAAGGATTAAGAATTATAGAAACCTACCCGGACTCTCTCAAACACAAGTTTTCTGTCAAGAACATGGGTGAAAATAAGGTACATAATGCATAGGTTAGATCAGTGGAAATAATCTCCATTGTCCTGCACTGCGTTCCCTTAGAACATGTACCTCTCCATGAAACTGTTATCTTCCCAAGATAAGAGCTAAATCACTTAGGCCTTAACCCCTCCTTATACCGGCTTGGGGCAATTTGTAGATCACCAAGGGTCTGGTGGTTTTGGCCATTGTATATACATCAGTCGAGTCAGCAGGTGTAATATAGATATGGACTTGAAACTTAGAACTTTCAGCGGAGTCCTTTGTTGTTTGGCCCTATCTCCCTCCCCTGGACTTTCTTTCTTTATTTCTTTGGATGCATTGTCTTGGTTTTCATCTCAACCCGTCTTATTTTCAATAGTCACCAAGTTGTGGAACTCACTTCACTGATTGCACGAGTCATTTGCCTATTTGGCTCTCCTGAGTCCTGATTGCTTACATTTCCTGTCCATCCTCTATCCCACTACAATTTAGGTTTTTAGTTTTCACTGTGAATTTTCATAGATTTTAGGGCATAGTCGAGAATGCAGTAGCTTAAAATGGTATATAGCATTTAGCATTTTACTCTTGGGCCTAACTCTAAATAAATTAAAAACTAAGAATACGTAAAATCATTGCAGATGACAATTTGCTTTCTTCTGGAAAATGATAGAGAAAGGTCAATGGTTCTTTGTAACACCCTAAATGCAAATGAGGATACCTGAATTTGAAAGAACAAGTAGGACTTCACATGCTATATGCACTTGAAAAAATTTGCACATACATACCTTCAATTGCTAATATCTGGATACATATCCTTGTACCACATTACATAGAGTGATTTGTGTTGTGTTGGTAACAGAAAGAATAGGTTATCTCAAAGTGGTAATTCTTTGCCTAACTCATGAATATCATCACCACATGAACAAAACCTAGTACAGGATTGCACTAATTGTAGTTAGAAAATATTGAATTTTAACATCATATGCCTGTCTTCTCCTTGGACTGTGTAAGAGGTGCTGTTGTAAAGCTAACCGACACTGAGGATTAATAATCTGATTGAATCTCTTTTCTCCTGAATTGTTTTGTATTTCTCTTTGAGTGATGGCATGCTGTTCATTACAGCTGTTGTAAAATAATTAATGAACTTGGTCTGAATGTCTAAAAAACATAGGTGGTGGAATAAGTGTTTCAGCTTTTTATACATTTCTTATAAGCTAATTTGTATCTCCCTTGTGATAGTCTCAAGAAGGTGCTGATGTTTCTGGAGTATTAACAGTGATGACATTGGGAATGTGAGTTGATTGCTTTAACAGTCTGCTATACTCTGAAATTATACTAATTTAAATAGGCAAAATATCTGAACAGGTTTTACGCTGCTGTGGCTAGAACTGCTTTCAAGGGTGAAGGACAACAAAGCTTGCATCATTTCTGGTATTTTCTCACCTTTTTATGTTGTTATAAACTTATAATACAAAGGAATGAACTCCAAAGGACAGCACAGAGTGTAGAATTTGTTTTTGTTTTTCTAATTGACTGAAAGCGGGGCTAGTGGATGTGATGCATCAAATTCATAATACATTTCTAAGCAATTTATTAGTTGATTTTGCAGCTTTTTGATAAGACTTAAAGGGTTTCAGATTATTAAATCAAATGAAGTTTATCAAACTCGTGCATTCAGTTATCTTACTAGGAATTTCTACTTACACCATCTTATTCAGCCTATGTACTACATGTATTATTACTGGGAGAGAAACTTATATGTACGTTCCAAGACAAATTACTGCAAGTGACACTTCTCAAGTTGGAACATATGCATCAAACAGGATCGGCATGTCACTTATCAGTTGATTCAGTTCTATTTCATACTCCCAAGAAACTTCTGTCACTATACCTACAATCTGTAAAGAAGAACAAATCAATTCTACCAATAGGAGTGTCTTTAGACGTGCCAACCTTAATATGTTTGTGCTTTCATGAAACATCTGCTTCTTGCAGATGTGCATAGCTGCATTATTTTCACGATATTTATCCATCAATTCAGGAGCGGAATCACCAACTCTGAACCAACTGATGTACTCGAGTCCAACTCACAAGCCGTCCTAGCCATGAACATGTACTTGATCAGGCTCTAGAGAGAGAATACCTTGCTGCTTCTCTTCCAAGTTAAAAAATGGACGACTTTTATGTGTAGGACATAAGGGCCTCCTATATATGTGAATCGTTTAATGGGGATAGGAGGGTGACGGAAGAACATTGATGTCCATGTCCTGTAGATGCAGCTGTATGCCTATTATATATCCTTCGGGATAGCTTTAATGATACATGGTGCTTGGAAGAGGGCTTCCACACAAAAGCCTGTTGTAGGTTACCCTTTTCTCCGAGCAGGAAATCCTCATTGTGATGGAGCCCTAGAAGTGAAAAACCTTACGTATATACACACATACTAAGATATGGGCTTTGGTGCGAGGATTAGGGAAAAATAAAATACGATCCTCCTCCCCCCACAGACACAAAAGAAAAAGAGGAAAGAAATTGAAAAGATCCCATATTTTAAGGCCTTATGTTGTAAAAAATTTCATGGAATATGAACACATTTTAGTATGTCCCCTATAGATAGAGAATAGTTAAATGTTTACTTCTATGAGAAAAATGTAGTTAGTAAACTATTTTTATCAATACATCGTTTTATCGATGCTAGTTAGAGCATAAATGGTAGAACTTTCCAACAACATAGATTGTCGTATAGTTGTTGCCCTCGGTTTGCATCTAGCTTGTTCATCAAGACATGATGGCACTGAAAATACACTAAACTGCTAATATTCTAACACAGAAAAGAGTTCATCTTCTATTGTGAAAGTAGACTGATAAAGGCTAGACAAAGGCTTCAGAACCAATAGCTTATAAATCAGGACCTCTGATACTTGTTATAGTTGTTTAGTATAAATTATTATCTTATTCTGACTTGCATGAGAATACCATTTACTGTTGTAATACTTGGTCTTCCTCATCTTGAACTGCAGGGAAATGGTGTCGTATATTGCTAATACGCTTATCTTCATCCTAAGGTATGCGTTCCTAGAAGAAAACTCTTGTGTTTCATTACTTTGAGCCACAAATTAAGACGGGAGGAATGCGTTGATAATTTTCTGTGTGTGGTGTGGTGCATAAACCATGAGAAGTACTTGGTTTAGTAGTTTTGTTTCTTTTGTTTTGCAGTGGAGTAGTCATAGCTGAAGGCATCCTCGGAGGTGACAACATTCTTAAACATGAACGTAAGTTCTCTAAGTGGTTATCCTTCCTTGTTAATGTTTATTTTCTTTGTTTTCTCTCTCATGCTACATACATTTTTTAATGCCACATCGCTTACTCTTGTTTGTGATATGTGTTTAGAAGTTCGTATATGTTCTTATATGATTTCCCCGCATGGAATAAGATTTCTTTCATTAGCCTGTTTGGTTTTAGGCTATCGTTGCGCAAATTTATTTTTCTAGTCTAAATATATGATTGGCTGAAGTAAGAGATATATTTGGTCACATGGAAGCATATGCTGGAAGCTTTGTTCAAGGTATGCGGAGGTAGAAATTATGGGAGTGGTGATGACACAACATGGACACATACATGAGAAAAAAGCACCGAGTGGGAGTGAATATATACCAGCTGAAGGTGAGATGCAAACATCTTTGTATGCTGACATAACCAAACCAAATGAGCCCAATATATACCACCTGAAGGTGAGGTTGGGTTTTTTGGGGGGGGGGGCATGTACACAAACCCAACCTCTACCTTCAAAGAGTAGAGCGGATGTTTCCATGAAGACCTCTGGCTCGTGAGAAGTGTGAGAAAAAAGATAGGAAGTTTCCCCAAACAATTTGTATATGCTGACATGTATATACTTAAGAAGGGTTGGAAACCCAAATTTTACAGACAAGGCAACAAAATAAGGACGAGAGAGAAAGAAAAGTAAATCCTTGACATGTGACTGAAAAATACGAAAGTGAAAAAAGTAACATCATTTTGGCTCTGCAGCAATCCTTTATCTTCTGTTCACTGATATGGTATTTTTGGTTGGTTTTTGTCCCTCTATTCGAGATGCATTGACTGATACCAGTTTATATATTTTCTTAAATCTTGATTTTGGAAAAGCTCAACAAAGCGACTTTCATTGCTCACACTCGAGAGGCATGCTTGGTTTTACTTTGTCAATCTCTAGACCCATCTAGTTAAAGCTCTATCAATGCTATATTATGCTTAAGCATGATCTTCAAGTAACAACCCTTCCATTCGAACCATATATGACCACCATATGCTTATATCCCCAGTAGCATAGACTTTAGACTAATGGCCTGTAAGTGAGCTTAAAGGATTGGTTGCTAGAATAAGATCAAATATATTTTTATTGGAATTTACCAAGTGGACTTGCATAAAGTTGTGCATGCCGCTAATTGGTCTCATTAGGATGTAGAAAACTTGCATACTTGGAGCTTTGGGAAGTGGTAGAATAGTTGCACTTATGTTGGAAGGGTTTGGAATTTAGTTCATATTAATTAATATTTGGAACTATATAGCCATGGAAATGAATGATAGCAAAGCATGACATGCTTCAATAGAARCTTATCATAGATYTGCATGTCTAGTAGTAGTTGTAATATGATCAAGGTTAAAAGGGGCTTTGTTGTGTTTAAATGGATAATGCATTATTTATTAGAAGTATCTAGTTTGTGCTATGAATCACAGGTACATCGTCACTACTTGGTATGGAGTGCCCTTTACCAGCCAAGTATACTTGGTTTCGTAACTTAATATAATGTTTCTCATGATCTTATTCATCAGAAATAATGAGTATTTTCTACTTTTGATATTCTACAAGTGAAGCAATCCACTTTCACTATTACCTAATGTCCAAGAGCAACAGCAACATATACATGATGATAAACTTGCTGATTATCATCCTCTTAAATTGTCCTGGAGCTCATGTTTTTATTCAAGCAATAAGTATTTCATCATTGCTTCTAATTATGCGTGTATCTGCTTTCCCACCATGCGTTCAAGCATTAATGTATATTTGCATTCAATTGTATTCCCATTGGTATAACCATATTCTATTATCTGTCAAACAGAAAATTCTTGGGGCTACCTCATCCTCCTCTATGTTTTGCTACAACTCTCACGGGTCGTAGTGGTTGGATCATTATATCCCTTTCTGCATTATTTTGGTTATGGCTTAGATTGGAAAGAAGCTATTGTACTAGTGTGGTCTGGTTTAAGAGGCGCTGTGGCATTGTCTCTATCTTTATCCGTTAAGGCAAGTTATCCTTGTTACTTATAGAAGAAATCTTGAAAACTCTATTTTTGAGCCCTAACATGGCACACTTATTTTGCTAGTTTTCAAATGCTTTTCTTTTTGCACCATTGAATCAATTCCATGTCTAAAATTTTCTTACTGTGATCATGCTTAAAACGTACAAGTTGTGATTCAGTAGTTGATTCTTAGTTAGAATGGAGGTTCTCCTCCATGGAAAATTTCATTTGAAGTATATCAATTCAATTAATGACTATTAATATTTAAACTTTTTGAAATTAGCACCTGGGAAGTCTGAGTTGTGACTTCTCTGCACCATTCTTCTTAAAACATAGTATTCTTACTCTAATTAACTTATTGTTTATGCTTTTAATTGCCTATTTTTAATACTTAACGTGCCTGATATTTGTTTTTACCACCTTTTTTGTTATTTTCAGCAAGCTAGTGACACATCGCCATACATCAATCGTCAAACAGGATCTTTGGTACTTTGTTTTTTGCTAAATTGTATCTTAACTTTGTAATATCTCAAGGAAAAGAAATGCTACATTTGATCCTTTGGAAATAAATTATGTACAGGAAGAAGTTGATGATTTATTTAAATTAGAGATCATCGGGACTTGTATTGATTATTTCTTCACCTGTGCAGTTTGTGTTCTTCACTGGCGGAATTGTGTTTCTAACACTTATTGTAAATGGATCAACTACTCAATTTGTTTTGCGGATGCTAGAAATGGATAAACTGTCGGCGGCTAAGGTACACTTATAATATATATGAAGACAGTGTTAGGTATTGTACAAGAGCAAGTACGTGTAGTTTTATACTTTCAAGTGAACTACTTTGTGTGCTTTCATACTGCCTCTCTCTCTCTCTCCATACATGTATATGTGTGTGTGTGTGTGTGTGTGTGTGTGCATGTGAATTTGTGTGTATCAGTAATGGCAAGATAACCTTTTATTTGTAACTTTTAGAGAAGAGGGAGGAACGAAAGAGTTTGTTACTGCTAAAGCTGACTTCGCAGAAAGGAATCAATGAGATGTTTTGTATGACTAAGTGCCTTTGTTTTGTTTTTTTCCCAAAATTATTCTTAGGCTACAAATTCAACATCTGAGCTGACACATTTCTTGTTCCTTCATGCACTCTTGTACCTCAGAATTGCCAAAGAACTGTAGACTGCTCTAGGCATCGAGCCTTAAGAAATTTAATCAGATTGAACAGATTACACGCATTTAGAGACAAAGTCCTGTAATAGAGCTATGGTCACTATGAGTATATCTAATATTTGAATTACATTCTTGTTCTCTATCTTCTTGATTGTGTAGAAGTAGACAGAGAATGACTTGACTCTTTTTTGCCCCTTTTGGTTTTATTTATTTTCTGATGGTTGGGGCATCAGCTCTTAAATAGTTCTGCCCCCTCTTTTCCAGAGTATAGGTGCAAAGTGAGTTATGTTTTTGTTGAAGAAAAAGCCAATCATCGTCAAACAGAGTCAACCTACCTATTATCAAGTTGTTATCCCCATTAATTTGGATCTGTCCTTAAACTTGCTTGGTATATATTCGGTAAAAGGGACTCTACAAATGTGTTTGATGATAATAAACTCCTTCCAATTTCGAATAAAATTCAAATTATCCTGAACTTTGTAAGGATTTATCATATTTGGTTTATCTAAGAGATGTTACTATAGATGTCTTACAAATATGAATAGAAATCTGCATGCATGATGTGCATATTATTTTCGTTTATGGCTCTCAAATTCCTTGATATTGAACTTTTTTCTTAAGTGCCCTTATATTTTGGAATGTACAATTATTAAATAATGACTTATATGGTCATAGCAATATCATTTATTCACATTGTTTTCCTATTGAATCTATTATTAGGACTGAACCTGTTTTATTAAGTTAATATGCAAATAATTCTTATAGTCCAATTTCATATTTGGTTCAAAACTCGTGTTCTTTTGTCTTTTATTTTCACATTGGTTGCATACTTGTTCATTTTTTTTGCGCTCTCAATTATTTGAACGTAAGTATTACAAAATGTTGTTCCTTCAGTTAAGTGACTTTTAATTTTTGTTGTAGAGACGTATACTAGATTACACCAAGTATGAAATGATGGGCAAAGCGCTAGAGGCATTTGGTGATCTTGTAGATGACGAGGAATTAGGACCTGCTGATTGGCCTACCGTCAAAAAGTATATCACATGTTTGCATGATTTAGAAGGAGAACGTATCCATCCTCATACCGCACCAGAGAATGATAACAATGTGGAGCACATGCATCTATCTGATATACGTATACGATTTTTAAATGGCAAGTAATTTTATTTATTTAATATTTTTTACTCTGTCTATTCCTTACCTTACCAGGTATATCATTATATAAGATTTCAAACTAAGTTCATGAAATAGTTTAATCCATGCTTATATTTATTTTAGGTCTCATAGGTAATCATCTTCCATGTCATTCAACTCACCACATATAACATCATGGATGTTAGGGTTTGTTTGTATAATACTTCTTAAATGATACAGTTTTTTTTGGATATATGCCTAGTAATTTTAAGATATGACTTTAATTCACTGTTGAGGGACTAATACAAACCAAATTGAATACAACCAATCGGAGAATGATTCGTATTAACTACAACCAATCTGTAATGCGCCAAATTCTAAAATTGGGTGTTGTTGCTTTATAATTAAAACTACTAAGTCTTGAATATAAGCTTGAAATTTAACTTTATAACATAGCTTATAAATCACAACAAAGATGAAATACTAGCGGAAACGTAAATCAATAGCTTATAATACAATATAACTTGCTAATGATTATTAAAATACTACTTCATGCAAATCTTCTTTACTCCTTTCTTGAGATACTTACATGAGATAATGATTTCTAAAATACTACTTCATACAAATCTTCTTTACTCCTTTCTTGAGATACATACATGAGATATATAAGCTAAAAAGCTTAGTGAGTAGTTATGATTTCATGAACAGACAATTTTCATGATGCTTAAAATTTTGTGAATAGTAATTCCCTAAAACTCTTGATCATGCACAAAATAATATTTTTATCATGCATAAACATTCTTTTGAGATCTCACTTGAAACATGTAAGTATGCCATATTTATCTCGAGGTTTGCTAACCCCCAGGTCCATAAAGGCTGCCCCATAAGGTCCGTTTGCAAGTCGTCCCTTCTTGTAATATCCCGTACGATGGGTATTTATGGTCATACATAACATATAAAACCTTTCATGCCTTGTGTAACACATACTTGCATCATAACATGTAAATATGCTTTGGTGTAAAACACATACTTGTATGGTAACATGTAAACATTTTCATGCTTTGGTGTAAAACACATACTTGGATCAAAACATATCATCATGCATATCTTGAATGTATATGAATGCATAACATTTTCATGTAAAGCAAACATGTCAAAATACCTTATAATGCACAAAATACTTTTATATAGCATGTATGTACCTCATAAATCTCATAAGTACTCACCTTGATTATGCCTAGCTTTTCCCTTAATTCCTTTCTTTAAGCTTGATTATATATAAAGAGGGAGATTTCTTATTTGTGCTATGAAGCTAATAGTAACACCTCAACCCCTATTTATAGGTAAATTCATGGCATTAGCTACTTGTTCTTTTTGCTCTCAAACATGTACTCTTATGAGAGTTTTACACCTCCTACTTGAGGATAAGAGAATCTTGACGCCTAGGAAGAGAATCTTGACATCTCATGCTCTTAGTATTTCCTTGTCATGCTTCTTAGACTTGCCTTGTAATCAAATAGTCTTGCCTACTCATGCTTTTAGCCTTCACAACTCATTACTAGCTTGCTTAGTCATGCTTACTAGACTTGCTTAATCATCACATAGCTTGCCAACACACTTCTAGCCTTTACAACTCATCCCCTTAGGCTTGATTTCTCATGCTTCTCCTTGTAAGCTACTTGCCTTATAAATGTGAGAGTTTAATAGATGCTACAGCTGCTGGACTCTTTTAAGAGTACTTAATTTACTTATAAAATCTTGTATTTAAGGCTTAAACATTAAGATTTAGCAAATAAAGAAACTAGGGTGTTACACAACCAAAGGGTTACAATCGAGTTCCAGCCACTTCGAGACTGCCGGATGTCTCCCAAGGCTCGCCCTACACACACACAAACTGATTGATAAAACCTTGATGACCTAACCTTTTCTTATTTATACTACCCCACTTATTACTACTCTTGCATTTTATCTACTTGTACTACTGCATAAGGCACTTGTACCTTCGCCTACCACTATTTGACTATCTAACTGGGGGTATAACAATACCCGCCCCCGAATTTTCACCTTGTCCTCAAGGTGGAAAAAAATGGAAATGCCGATTCCCAAGCGTTCCATCAACTACTGCTCGTGTTGTGGTATTGTGGTTGATTGAGCATCGACTTAATTCAGTGAAATGTATTATTGATGATCCTTTCTGCACTGAAGGATCGTCCAACATTTGCTTTATGACCCATATCAACAAGCTTAGCCACAACCAGGTGGTTAGTGGTCGAATTACTGGTTTTGTCCTGATGGATCACTGTTGTAAATCAAAGTGTCTCAACAGTAGGTAATTTTCTGACAATAACATTCTTCTGAACAATCTTATGGATGCCAAGAAGCAAGTCATTCATAAAGACAACAAACAGTCCTTTGGTAGCAGCAACTTGAACATACTCTGTCAAAAAGAAGAATTTAACATTCACCCGGTAGTCTAAAACATAGATCAACCCCAATTAGCTTGGTCATTACATAGCCAAACTCATTTAATTCAATGGTGTGCTGTCTTCATCCTGCAATGTCTCTTGGTTTTGGATCTGGTTCACAGTAGGAACCTTTCCCTCTTTTAATTGAGCATGAACAACACATCCGGTAAACCCATCAGCAACAAGGTTATCATCGCTAAAACCATCAGAAGTTGTTTGTGGATCCGCCAAGTATAATATGGAATTTTCTGGGGACACACTTGCTAACGTCGCTGCCATTTTGTTGAGCATCGAAGCAAGTGATGGTTTTTCAAGCTTGAAGGGTCTATCATGCTGATGTCGATTTTAGCTGTAGTTTTAACTAGTTCTTGTGTGCTCTAATAGATGTTTTTAATCATAGAGACCCAATGTTCCGATATGATGATCAAATTTCTTATATTTTATGTCTGAATTTTTCTTCCAATGTTTTTAATTGTTTTGATTGCAATGTAAGCTACTATTGAAGAAAACTTCTTGTTATCTGTTCTTAGGGTTTCTGTATGTCACATTCCAGGCTTCATCTGGTATTAGCATAGTTGTAAGACCACCAAAGTGATTCCTCAGGGGACTGTCAGGTTCTTCAAATGCAATGTAATTATAGGATGTTGTGTTGATTTCGCATATTGGGATATCTATATTCTTTCTAAATGCTGGAGTCTGTTCCATGTTAGGTGTGCAAGCTGCTTATTGGGGGATGCTGGAGGAAGGTAGGATCACCCAGTTTACAGCAAACATTTTGATGCAATCTGTGGATGAAGCACTTGATTCGGTGTTGCGTGAACCACTATGTGATTGGAATGCCTTGAAAGCTAATGTTCATTTCCCTAATTATTATAAGTTCCTGCAAACAAATATGTTCCCCAGGAGGCTTGTAACCTACTTCACAGTCGAAAGGTTGGAATCTGCATGTTACATATCTGCTGCCTTTCTCCGTGCCCATAGGATTGCACGGCAGCAACTACATGACTTCATTGGTAACAAATACTCTTGATCCTTTTGGAGATTGCAAGTTAATATGTTTTTCCTTCCCAAATGGCCATGTATTCCAAATATGATATCTTTTCATACATACATGCATCATTACATGTATATATTTTCATATATTTATGCATGGGTGGATCTATATAGAGGAAACAGCCTTAAAGTTCTTTTTATATATATGATGGGAAAATAAGAAGGCTAAATATCGTGAGAAGGTAAGAACTAAGAAGAGAAGGTTAAGGGAAGCTTCATATGTGAAGCATTGAAAAAATCCATTTGAAGATGCATATGTGAACCCATAAGAATAATCTATAATGTCAGTTCACATATGCATCTTTAAATAGATTTTCTTTTTTCGGATTTTCCAATGATCCACATATGAAACGACCCTTAACCTTCCTTTCTTACCTTCTCTCAATAGTTAGCCTTCTTTATACCCCTATATATATATTCCAAAACAAACTAAGAAATGCTGATGGTAATCGTTCATGCCTACATATTATATATACAAACAGACTTGCGTACATATTATATATACACACGCATATACTATATTATGTATAATGATATAGTGTAGTATTATGATATAGTACTGCATAATGAGGTATAATATATTATGATGCAATATAATATAATGTAATGTAATAACATGTGGAATTCTGGGTATTTTGATGGAATTTCGTATATGTATAATATAAGTATAGTACAGTATACAGTTTATTGCAATATAATATAATCTAGTTTTCTGCAATATAATGTATTTAAGTTAATGGCTTAATTCTATTGTTCAATACTTTTACAAATTGGCATCACTGGTTATGTGATTAATTTGGATATGCGTCCTTCCAATTTAAGGATCTGTATGTTGAGACATTATGAAAGATGATGAAACTCTGAATGATTTGGACTTCCTCAACTAATCTGCTCGCATTTATTTAAACTTGCTTGCTTCATTGTGAATTTGAATTAAAACACCGACTCCTGTACCCCAATAAACATCATAGATTCATGACTGGTTTTACGTATCTTTGCATGTATATCTGATGTGTAAAATTTGATGAACATGTTTGAACGATGATAAGTTGATTATATGAAGAAATTTATGATGATAGAAGTGTAGAATTCTAGTTGATTTTCTATGAGACTGGGGAAGAACCCAAAAGGCTCATGTAACCTGGGGAAGAACTAAAGCCACATGACTATTAAGTCCTATGAGACTTTATTTGATATAGAAGTAGCATTGTACTCTTAACTCCTTTTAGGTGATTTTAAGCATCATGTTAATCCTGAGGGAAGGCCTATGCCCTGTGGTTATGTCACTCCTAGTGTACCATACAATATTTTGAGTACCTAATTACAAGCTATAACCGTGAAGAAATTTATAGAACTTCATCTTCAATTCTAAGCTCTAGGAGTACTAACATTATTATACCTGCAACTCTTATTGTAGGTGATAGTGATATTGCTTTGGCGATAATTGATGAGAGTGAGACAGAAGGAGAGGAAGCAAAAAAGTTCCTGGAAGATGTTCGCATTACTTTTCCACAGGTTAGTTAAAAATTTACAAGCTCTTGTTGTGATATCCTGAATCTCTAAAGTTACACTTATACCAAATATCTATACAAAGCCAACGTACATTCTTGCATAGATTAGTGTTCCAATACATCATCCAACTCCGAACATTCAACTTACAAGTAATGTTCTAAACATTGAACTTACACCTACTCATATTTGCTTCCACCGACAGATGCTTACAACAGAGTCAGATTCATCACTTGTATAAAACATTGTGCATCCAGCCTTTCATCTATGATATGCCTTAGAATTTATAAACAAATGCAGCCAAATTCCTTAAGCATCTCTGCAATTTTTCCCTGCACATTCAAGCTATTCCTTACCTTTAAAGCTTGACCTCTCCTTACGAATCTTGTATGTATACATTAAAAACTGAGCTAAAGCCTGTGAGTTTAACAAACCTGCTAGAATTCATGTCTAGAAGTTTTCATAAAGCATGTACATGAAAGTATTTTTTTCAAGTGCCTCCAAGACATGTTTTTGGCTACCCTTTTTCCAAATATCAACTAAATCTTCTCAAAAAGAATAGTGATGTTTCCCATTCATCTTTAAAGAAGTATTTTTGCTGTGCTATGAAAATAATGACTTTTCAGCCATGTCTTCAAAGGAATTCACTGCCATTGAGTTCAGATGAGGACTTACTACAATGCCTTCAAAAGGACTTCTCTACGAAGCCTTCATCGGAAGGACTTTGCCACGGTGCCTTCAAAAGAATGACTTTCAGAACTTTAGGCATATCATGCTTACTTCTTCAAAAACCATTTCATCAAGTGCATGTGCATACATGCCTTCAACCTACTCCACTGACTTCTGGGTGTAGAGCCTTTACTCCAACAAGTGCATAATCCCAACATACAACAACTTAAAACTCAAACCAAACTTGGTCAAATGCATTTCTGATACCCAAAATACATGAACTTGACGAAACACATGCATCCAATCAAGTCTAATCCATAATTTATTTCGGATATAGATCATACACTTCAAATTAAATGTATTCCTAACATACTTCCAAAAATCTCCCAAAGTTTATTCATGGCTTTACATTTTGGATCCCAACTTCTGCGAACTGATACTAAAAGCCAGAGATCTATTCAAACGGGCCTTGCATGCACAAATCTAATGAATTTGAAGGTTTTGTACTATATTGTTACATATATAGATAGTAGGGATAATAGGGGGCTGGTCAATTAGTCAAGTACGTTGGGTTGTTAGAAGTATAAATAGAAGGGGGTAGAAGTGATTAGGCATCAGTTTTGTATTGTGGAGTTGGAGGAAAACCTCTCTGGTGAGATCCAGCTCTCTTGAAAAGCTGGAAATCAATTTGTAAACATTTGATTGTTGAATAAAGATGAACAGTTTGCATCAAATGATATCAGAGCAGTCGACTTTGGAATTGACCAGGAGCATGCTTGTCATGGTGCAAAAGATGGAGGATATTACTTCGATGAAGTCTTCCATGGATGTGGTTCAAGAAGATTGGAAAGTCATAAAGAAATCGATTCAAGAAGACTTGAATTATGTCCAAGAACAATCAATTGATCAAGATCACAAACTTACGGTCTTGGCAGAAAATAGAAAAAGAAAACAAGATGAGAGAGAGAAGGAAGGAGATGGAGGCACTGCGGTGGTTGTTCCAACGACTGTAATAGAAAAGACCCAAATTTCTGTTGCGATTCAAGAAGTTAAAGACGATGATGTTTTAAAGAATCAAGAAGAAGGGTTTGAGATTCAAGAAAATGAGAAAGAAGGGGTTTCTGGTAATTTGGTTGGTGGTGATGATGAGAATATGGTGTTTGTAGATGCAAAGAGCTCGTTTTCCGGCTTAAATGGCGGCGAGATGAAGTCGGTTTCCGAGGTTAGTGATTCGACGGGAGTTGGGAAACAAGAAAACGAAGTGGAATTCGTTGAATCCGGGGAAGATACGAGCAAGAACAATGATGGAATTCATGCAAAACGGTCAAGATTCGGGCAGGAATTAGCGGAGAACGAAGGCGATTACAATGATGAACAGGATGAAACCGTAGAAGAAGATCACGATTTCGTTGTGGGTGATTTTGTTTGGGGTAAAATCAAGAGTCATCCTTGGTGGCCTGGTCAGATTTACAACCCTTCGGATGCGTCGGATTATGCCGCTACTTTGAAACGTAAAGGTCATCTCTTGGTAGGGTATTTTGGGGACGGGTCGTTTTCTTGGTGCTCACCAATCACCATCTCAATTGAAACTGTTCATTGACTGTTTTGAAGAAATGTCAAATCAAAGTGACTCCAAGAAGTTTGTGAATGCGGTTTAGAAGGCCTTAGAAGCGGTTGGTAGACTCGTGGAGGCGGAAATGATGTGTAAATGTTGAACAGTTGATCAGGATGGTGACGGGTGTGTGGCGGTGAACAGTGGGATCAAGGCGGGAGTTGTTATGCCGAAAGGGAACACGATCAAGATTTTGATCGATCGAATGAATCCAATGGAGTTCTTTTCGACTTTGAAAGCTTCTGCTACAATTGAGGCAGGTGTAAAAATGGCTGAGTTTGAATTCACTGTTCTGAAAAGCTGCCTGACCGTTTTTTATCGATGGAAAGGCGGTCAATTATTGCCGGAATATCACGATCTGAAGTATACCGAAGGTGTTGAAGACGGGAAGAGAAGCGGGTTCGTTTCAGATTCCGATTTCAACGGCCCGTCGGGAAGTGGTGACTGGAAGTTGCGTAAAAAACGGAAGCAGAAAAGTGTGGCGGAACTTTTGGGAGAAGGCGATGAAGACGAACGTAAAATCAAGAAAGTGAAAACGAGCGCTGGAGGTTCTGGTTCATGTTAGTTGAAGAGGGAACGGAAACGGAAGGCATTGGTGGTGTCGGTTTCGCCGGAAAGCGAGTTCGACAGCTGCGGAATTGAAGAAGAAACAATGTCGCCACGCCAAGGGAAGAAAAGCAAGTATCTTCCGCCACCGCCATTTCCACCGCCGCCGGGGTTGTTTTTGCTGTTACCACCATCGTCTCAGCCACCTCTGTCACCGGTCTTCCTTGGTTCTTCATCTGCGTATGTTTTCTGGAACAACCGTATGTACGTTCAAAAAAAAAACCAGGGGTTTATTCATTCTATTGGACTTCAAAGGCAACGGTGAAGCCCACATTTATATCCTTCTCTTAAGCCCAAAAACTGACTTTAACTATCTCTCAAGCCCTAAGGAATACACCGAAGTACGAATTTCTGGAACAAATACAAAGACAAGAAGTGTAAAACTCCAGAATTATTTTTTCTTTCCACCTTGAGGATAAGGTGGATGTTTAGGGGTGGGGAGGGGTATTGTTACATATATAGATAGTAGGGATAATAGGGGGCTGGTCAATTAGTCGATTATGAGGGGCTGGTCAATTAGTCAAGTAAGTTGGGTTATTAGAAGTATAAATAGAAAGGGGTTGAAGTGATTAGGCATCAGTTTTGTATTGTGGAATTGGAGGAAAACCTCACCGGTGAGATCCGGCTCCCTCGAAAAGCTGGAAATCAATTTGTAAACATTTGATTGTTGAATAAAGATGAACAGTTTGCATCATATATCTTTACATGCCCCCTGCCCCCTGGACATGAGACTCAGTTAGATTATAAAGAATCTCACCTTACACTGAAACATCTCTTTCTCCTACTCCTTCCTTCACTTCAATCAACAACCGGTAGAAAATGTCAGCCTTCTCATGAAGTCTGGATTCTTGCTAGACTGTTGGAATAAGGATGAATTTCTCACTCACACAATGCAGATTGCAATAGAAAAGCTCAAGCTCACCCTCTGCTCTACTCACTTACTCAGCTTACATACTCCCAAAAGGACTTCCATTAGACACTAGGGCTAGTTATAGCCCCGAATCTGGTTTATTAAAATAAATATTTACACATTACCCCCTTTGTTCACTATCAATATTATTCCGTTATTCAGACTTGATGAATAAACTGACAACTAATTTACTAAAACAATAATTTCTTTTACATGAAAATTTTGGGGGTATTAGACGTTTTACATAATAGTTAACACATATTATACCGGTCTCACGTTGATGTTTTTAGGAAACAGTTCTACTTGGCATAGGTGTGACTGATATTTGTTTAAAATCATATATCATGATGATTTTTGTAGGTTTTGCCTGTTTTGAAAACAAGGCAAGTGACTTATTCGGTGCTCAATCATCTAATCGAATACGTTCAAGATCTTGAGAAGGCTGGATTATTAGAGCAGAAGGAATTGGTTCATCTTCATGATGCTGTCCAGGTATTCCCCACAAATATTTCATCATTTAGCCTTTGTTGCTTAAGCGTCCAATAATGCTGTACTGGAGTTTGGTTTTACTGCAGACTGACTTGAAGAAACTTCTACGTAATCCTCCTATAGTTAAGATTCCTAAGGCACATGATCTGATTAGTTCCAATCCTTTGTTGGGAGCCCTTCCATCAGTAGTCCGTGAGCAAATCGTGGGTTCCACCAAAGAGACAATGAAACTACGTGGTGTGGCCCTTTATAGGGAGGGATCCAAGCCAAATGGCATATGGCTGATTTCTAATGGTGTGGTGAAGGTAATTGATTGAAGTGAAGTATCAAGTTAAGAATTTGTGTGGAAGCATTTGTCACTTGTGATGATTGATAGAATTGCAGTATACATCATGGTGATCAGTTAACCAATTATTTGTTTTTCCATCAGTGGGCAAGTAAGAGGATAAGAAACAAGCATTCCTTGCATCCAACATTTGCACATGGAAGTACTTTGGGCTTATACGAGGTGCTGATTGGAAAGCCTTACATATGTGACATTATTACTGATTCTGTGGTACTCGGTTTCTTCATTGAAGCCGAAAAGATACTTTCGGTGCTTGGAACTGATCATGCTGTCGAAGATTTTTTGTGGCAGGTAAGGTGAAAAATGCAACTTTTGAGTATATGTGCAGCTAACTATTCTTTCATCTTTTGTTTCTTAACGTGTGAGCTAAATATAATGCAATGTCTCCTGTTCCAGTTCAATCTGCTTACGTTAATTTTGAATGTCAGTGGCATGATAGAGACATTTGTATGTAACAATAGTATAAATAATAAACTCACTGTTAAATAATCGCTTCTGTGTTATGTGTATATTTATTATCATGTGTCTGCAGCTCTATAGATATCTGGGATCTTAGATGTAGTGTACAACATTTTTATAATATTTTCCTTGTTGACCTCTTTATCATGGTCATCATTGGTTTTATTGTATTCATATGAAAGAATGATGCTATTTCAACATTGTCATTATAGGAAAGCTCGATCATACTCTCAAAACTGTTGCTTCCTCAAATATTCGAAAAAATGACCATGCATGACCTAAGGACTCTTGTGGCAGAAAGATCAACTATGAACACATATATATCTGGAGAAAGTTTTGAACTACCCCAGAATATGATTGGTTTGTTATTAGAAGGATTCATCAAAACCCAGGGTGCTTTAGAACTTATTACTGCACCAGCGGCATTATTCCCTTCATATGGTGACCGCAGTTTCCGGGTGCCAGAAATAGCAGGTAATTAAAAGTACCTTTGCATCTGAGAACATTTACTTTTGAGGCATTAATTTAATATGCTTGTTTATGATATTTGAATAATATGTGACACATCATTAGCACAGCATAGTTTCTTATTAAAAATTAGGTTTGAATTAGCCATAGTGCTCACTAGGTTTGTATGCAAGATCTTTGAGGAGCATTGACTTCTGAAAGGAAGTTCTACAAGTAAACTTCCAAATTATTAACTGTGAGCATGAACTTACCTTTTTAATTTTGCACGGGAAGCCTGATATGAACTGTGACGTATGCAAATTGTGAGAGAATGAGGAAAGTGCCTACATGTACGGAAACAGCACAGGTGAAAGTCATGGTGGTGTTTATACCATCACGTAGTGGCATAATACTTGTTGGGCAGTGTTTGTTCTCTCCTGTTATTCCGCAACAATTGATGGCAGAAGGAGAGCTGGTACTGGAACCGGAATTATTGTTGTGATGTCGAAACATTGTGGGGCATTTGGAAGTGTTGATCAAATAGCAAAGGGTAACACGGGGGACTAGGATAAGAGTGATAAACAGTTTCCACAATTTCACCTTGAGGGCAAGGTGCGAGTTTGGCAGGCGGGTAATGATGTGCTTTAAATATGTTATAAGAAACAGGAGACAGGGGCAGAAAGGTTATAGCACTTGTTGTATAGATCTCTAACTGTTGGATAGTTGGGTTGTTAGTCGGTGTAAGGGGTTGTTGGACGGAGGGTGTGTAACACCCCAAACTCCATATTTTGCATATAACATATATTTCATATAAAAGAAATATAGATTACACCACATAGGTTTCACTAGTACAAGGATTTTATATGTACAAAATTTACATATGAAAAATTCCAAAAGAATATCCCTGCACTATCACGTGTATAGCAACATGTATCTTCAAGATATACAAGCATCAGACTAATCTTCACAAAACAGATAACACATAAGGAAAATAATTATATTTCCCCCTTCCCCTTATTATCTCACGACCCCGCAATTCCTGCAATGCACATTTTGAAACACAAAGTGGGGGTTCGACCGAAAGGTCTAGTGAGTAAATCCCTTCTTTGCAAATGCAGGGTGAAGATCACCAAAACCTGATAAAACATCTTTTACATAGAGATAAATGCATTTAAGCAAAAACATGTAATTTGTTTGATAATCAAAACATATACAGCCAACAGATTGCTACAACACATAGCACAAATGCAACATATTGGAACTCTGGATCTCTTAACAGAGTTGCCATAAAACTCTTCTAGCTCAACGGGACAGAGCTTCTCTGGCACAACGGACCAGAGTTCCTCTACCCTTAATAACTAGAGCCTCTGGCTCTACTGACCAGAGCCTCTACATTCAAATGAAACAATATCCAACCAGAGACCCTCTGGATCAACTGAAAGAACCTACGTTAAATTTTAAAAAGATAATATAAGCTAGAATCAGAGCTCTTCTAGTTCTTTGCTCTATTTTATAAATATTTTTAAAGAAAAGAATAAAATTTTAAAAGACAAAACTATGATACAGAGCTCAGACACAGAGTTTCAAATAATAAGAAATAACTATTTTCAAGATACAGAGTTTTTGTATAATACGTACAGAGCTTCTGGTTCATAAAATTCCCAAAATATTTTTAAGTCTTTTCACATGATCAGAAGTCCTCTGGTCCTTCTAAAAGATCAAGGAGAGCCTCTCTGCATCATTCTCACATATGTTCAAATTTGATAGAAACCTTAGGCAATTAAAGCTTCTGGCGATAAATCATTTTCCCTTCTCAGTAACATCAAAGTTATTATTTCTATAAAGAGCAATACCTCTAAATCATCAAGTCACAATGAAATGTCGATTTAGAATTATTGTATCTGATAGTGATAATAATATGAATTATAGTAATACCCATACCTGCAATTGCCACCCTTATATCCATAGGTACACCTCTCCTTGATATTCCACCCTTATTTCTTCTTTAAAACAGGGTTCCTTACCAAAATAGACTTACGTCACCACGTCTGGAAGTACTCCGTACCCAGTTCCAAGCCAGAACAAACAAATGTCACCACGTCTGGGGAAACTACTTAAAACAAAGTTTTATTCCAGAACAGACTTACGTGACCACGTCTGGAAGTAACATTTCCCATAATATAGTTTCATTTCCCATAATATAGTTTCAAACCAGAACAGACTTACGTCACCACGTCTGAAAGAAACATTTCCCAAAATATAGTTTCAACCTAGAACAGACTTACGTCACCACGTTTGGAAGAAACATTTCCCAAAATATAGTTTCAAACCAGAACAGACTTACGTCACCACGTCTGGAAGAAACATTTAATATCTTTTCTACTTTAAAAGATATAAAATATCCCTTTTCACAATATAACATATTAAACCGAAATTGTAAAAAATTCCATTTAATAAAACTCAAGTTCATCAATAACCATATTAAGTTAACTCACATCTGGACAATACTTGTCTGGACAAGTCTATCCAGACAACACATGTCTGGACACTCATACCTGGACGATCCTTAACTATTAAAAACATCATCATATTTGGACGCGCATTCTCTCCGGACATCATAGTGTCTGTGCATAAGTTAATCGAATAAGCACAAGATTCTTAACTCGGCCGGATATACTTATCGGACAACAAGAGTCCGGGTATAATTTCTCATCGTTTAACACAGTGACCGTACTTACCCTCACCGGACAACACTGTGTCCGGACACAAATTCCATAATATACAAATCCGGACAATAAGTGTCTATTTAAATGTTCCATACGGTCAATGAAGATTATCAAGAATAGATACATCATCTTCAATACATTAACATCTCAAGGCTATAAACCAATAATCAAATCATATGCAAAGGCTGTTTTTGAATAAACACTCACCTTTGAAGATTCAGATTTTGAGGATGAAATTAGCGAATACAGATCAACTTAATTCTTACTCCAGTTAGCAAAGAAAACCCACATAAATTCTCTCTCTCTCTCAATTTCTTTTGAAGAAAGGCAAGAAACCTCCTTTCTCCCTAACACCCACTTTATATACCTTTCCATAAATGCGAAGGCGGTTAATCATGCAAAGACCTTTATGCAGACTTAAGATCATGTGAGACCAAGGGTTTTTCGTGAGACCCATAAGACCAATTCTCAACCCTTGGATTAGATCTACAATTTGAACATTCATAATCACAAAATTGCCACGAGACTTCTCAATAATCACAAAATTGCCACCGTACAATTTTAGACCATTAGATCATTAGCTTATAAAGTTGATCAATGAACATAAATTGGTCTTACGGGTCTCACGAAAAATCCTTGGTCTCACGTGAACCCAACCCCCTTTATGCATGTATATAAAATATGCATATAAACACATGCATTCACACAAATCTCAGAATTCCCATGCATACTTTCCTTTTATGCATACAATAATTCATGCATATTCTATTACTATTACATGCATGATAACATACACACACTTACACATTAATCTCATGTAAGCATGTATCCAGATGATTAATTATAACAATTAATCAAATATTCACGTAATCACATATCAAATAATCACATAATAATTACCTCAAGTGATACAGAACCCAGTTATCACATTATTCACCCCTCAAAAGATTCCGTCCCGGAATTCATTTAATCAAATAACCATAGATATTTGGTTCTCATTTCAGATTCCAACTCCCAGGTTGCCTCAGAACCTTTGTGAAAATGCCACTGAACTTTTACCAGATTGATTTCCTTATTCCGCAATACTTTGGTTTTTCGATCAGTTATTGCTTCGGGTGTTTGCACAAAGTTCAGCTTGCCGTCTAGTCTTACTTCTGGTAACGATACTACCAGACTCGAATCTTCCAAACACTTCCGTAGATTAGACACATGGAAAGTGTTATGGATGGAATTAAGCTCTTCAGGTAGCTCTAACTGCCAGACTCGGATCTTACCGAATCTGACTACCCCTTTCCACAGAGAGATTTTCAGCATCATATTATCTCCCACAAGGAATTCAATTGGCTTACGGCGTTTGTCGGCATAGCTCTTCTGACGGTCTTGAGCTGTTTTAATCTTTTCTCTAATCTGCTCAATTTTCTCAAAAGTGACTTGAACAATTTATGGCCCTGTTAAACGTCTTTCACCCACCAACAGAACGGTGTTATGCACTTACGACCATATACAAAACTTCATACGGTGCCGCTTAGATGCTAGAGTGATAGCTATTGTTATAAGCAAATTCAATTAACGACAGATGATCTTCCCACGATCCTCCGAAATCTATAACACAAGCCCTTAACATATCTTCAAGAGTTTGAATTGTTCCTCTGCCCATCAGTTTGTGGATGATACGCCGTACTTGGCCGAATCTGAGAACCCAAAGCTTTTTGAAAACTTTCCCAAATTTTTGATGTAAACTGACTATCCCTATTTGAGATGATAGATAACGGTACCCCATGTCTGGTTACGATCTCTTTAATGTAAATCTTCGCCAATCTTTCCAATGGGTAATTCTCTTTTATCGGAAGAAAATGCGCGGATTTTGATAATCGATCCACAATTACCCATATGACATCATATCCCTTTGGAGTTCGAGGTAATTTCATGATGAAATCCATCATGATATGATCCCACTTTCATACAGGAATCTCTAAAGACTGCAGACTCCATAAGGTTTCTGATGTTCGACTTTCACTTGCAAACACGTCATACATCTTTCCACATACCTTGCTATGTCATTCTTCAGTCCAGGCCACCAATAATATGGTTTTAAATCCTTATACATTTTATTCGTGCTAGTATGAATAGAATATCGGGATTTGTGGCTTTTATTCAAAATAATTTCTTGGATTTTCCCAAAGCGCGGTAACCAAATTCGACCTTGAAAACACAAAAGTTCTTTGTCATTCTTTTCCATGGTGGAAATCAATTTACCCAATTATTCAAACTTGAAATTATCTTCTTTGACAGCTTCTTCGT